GGGATCTCTTAATTGTGCTTGACACTGTCTTCCACCATCGTTGCTCCTAACATTTAGTGCCTGACTGCTGTCCAAGGCTAAAAGCGGTAATCACCTTTGGAAACTGCCAACAAACATGAATAACTCTTCTGGGGCCAACTTTTCTCGAGGAAGTAATAAATGTACCCTGGTGGCGAATGACAGCATGAACGTCTCTTTCTGCCTCCCTCGCTGCCTTGTGACTTTGGACAGGAAACATCAATTCATTGCCCTTACAAATGTGGTTTCTTTACGATGGTTTGAATCAATCAACAAATGAGTTGTAAGCACTCACTACATGCATGGTACTGTTCATTGCCACTTCTCTGAGTCACCAGATTGCAGAAAAGACGAAGAATAGGGACCAGAAAGCATGCTAATGGCAAGATATAATTAAGAAACAGCCTTGTCATTTTAAAACAGTATCATCTTCAGAAGTCACTGGAGTGGCCGCTAAAGGTTTTATGTGGTTTGCAAGATTTAGGATTTTCATCACTTTTCTAATAACTTTTGGCCCCTACTCCAGTGCTCCCCTGATTAGAGATTGTTCATCATGGTAGATGGATAGGCAGAGGTGCTCACCAATATTTCTGGTCGTCTTTTTGGGAACACAGAGGGTTGCATTGCTGTAGCTCCCTGAGTTTAGGCATAGCCATACGTCTTGGTTTTACCAATGAAAAGTGGCATTCACTGTCTGAGTCAAAGCATCTGATCACCAGTGCTCAGTTATGTAATAGGGAAGAACAAATCCGACTCCTTGTTAGATGAGTTCCTTTAGCCCTAAGCCAGTGCTGCTTCCTGGGCTCAGTCATGCTGGTTCTGCACCTGCTGTAAAAGAAAGTTGCCTATAGCCTGAAATACACAGGATGGCCCATTCTCAAGGCTCTGACCTTTAGGGTAGAACACTTTTCCATTCACATAGAGATAAAAAGTTGCAGAACAGAGAATAACATTTGTCTCAGTGGAGGTTTACAGGAACATCATGACCTGACCTAGGTGGACAGCTGCAAGAACAAAGGATTCTGACACTAACAAGTTTGCAACAACCAACCACACCCCTCCCCTTTTAACACACCCTAGGTAGGACTGACACACAATCACCTCAAAGTATTTCTGTGCATCAAAGGCTGTTAACGTGCAGGCCTGTAGCACCCTCACATAAACAATCTCATTTTAATCCTCACAACAGCACTAGGTGATCGATACTACCACCCACATTGCACAGATGAGAGGACCAAGAATCACAGAGTTCCAATAACAGCCAAGATCACATAAAAGTGGTCAGCCTAATGCCCAAGCCTATATTCTTTATCCTTGCTGCCTCCCAAGATGTTTATCTAGGTTGTTCCCTCTTGACTGTATTATTTTATTTTATCCATATTCACATAAATCCAAAGTCCTCAGACCAGACCATTAACTTCTGTTTTTTAAAATAATGGTCTCTACCTTCAGTCCCACTTGAATTCTGAATCGTGTCTGATGATGTCATTTGTCAAACAAACCAGAGAGGAGACTAGAGACAGCATGGGGCAAATCTATCCCAACTTCTGGCAAAAGCAAACCAGATTATTGGCCAACAGAGTCATCACTGCGTATGAAAACCAAGC